CAATTAGAGAGAGCTATTCAAGTTTTGGAGGATCTAATCAATTTATATGTATTTGATTTTTGTGGAGGAAAAGAGTCACATGTATTTCTAACAAAATTTGTTTATAATAATAGCTATCTTGCAAGCGTTGGAATTACACAATATAAAACTTTTTACGGAATAAAGTGCAAAACATTATTGGATTGGGTTGAAATTGGTGAAAGTAAAGTTATCATGCAAATTTAGTAGATGACGCTGTTGAGAAGATTCTCTCAGAGATATATTAAAGTTGTGTAAGACAGACAACAAAAGTATTATGATGCTAGACATAGACAAATGAATTATGAAGTTGAGTTTTTTATTTTTATCAAATCAACCCATTGAAGTTTGTGCAATGCTTTGGAATGAAAAGTCGAGTCCAATATATGTTGTTTCATATGAAATTATAGAGAAGATTGAATATGTAGATTACATATAGCTCTATTAGCACACATGCAAGGAATTCATAATATATTTTTTATTTCTTTATATATATATATATATATATATTATGAAAAGCCCAAGGGCTGATTTTATTGAAATAGAAAATGATACATAAATGTAGTATGAGAATAGCCCAAAGGAGGCACCTTACCATACGATACTAATACCCAAAAAAAAAGATACAGATAGACTCAATAAAATGTAAAACAAATTTAAAACATGTAGAAAATAAGTAGCTAGGGATGAGCCAGTTTAATCCTAACTCTTCCTCTAGTTTTAGGCGCGAAAGCAGATAACAAACTTTGAAGAGTCGTGCCATTGTCAGGAGTCACCAAAGTATCATCCATTAAGTTTTCAAGTTGGAGTGGGCCCCCAACCTTCTTCTTCCGCCGAGAAGTGTAAACCTGCCATTCTTCATCAGAAGACTGGCTCATGTGATCCTCGATCTGATTTGATGTTAGCACCGCAGTAGGTGGAAAGACAGTCGTTGCCACCGCGATAGGTTCCAATGTATGTGAAGTGTGTATTGTTACCTCTGCATCTGATGCTACCTGAATAAGAGCTGCGGGACTATTCTGATTTTCAGTTCGAACATTATCCGTTGTAGTATGATCAGAAGAAGGAATCTCAGGGGCAGACACCAACTCCTGTCTTGTGGTAATTCCTTCCTCAGGTTGACTGTCATCAAGTTTGTTGGGAGCGCGTTTAGGCACATGGGGTGCACTAATAGTGTGTTCCTGCTTTTGATTATTGGTTCTCA